TCTAACTTTAAGCGTGCGGACCCTACGGGTTCGAGAACTATGTAGACATGACCAAGACACGTCTCCGGTCAATAACCAATAGCGGAACCTAGATGCTCATATTGGCTCCTACATATTCTATGAAGATCTTTATCGGTCAAACCGCATAACAACATATGTTGTTCCCTTTGTCATCGGTATGTTACTTGCCCGAGATTCGATCGTCGGTATCTCAATACCTAGTTCAATCTCGTTACCGGCAAGTCTATTTACTCGTTCCGTAATACATCATCTCACAACTAACTCATTAGTCACAATGCTTGCAAGGCTTATAGTGATGTGCATTACCGAGAGGGCCCAGAGATACCTCTCGGACAATCGGAGTGACAAATACTAATCTCGGAATACGCCAACCCAACAAGTACCTTCGGAGACACCTGTAGAGCACATTTATAATCACCCAGTTACGTTGTGACATTTGGTAGCACACAAGGTGTTCCTCCGGTAAACGGGAGTTGCATAATCTCATAGTCATAGGAACATGTATAAGTCATGAAGAAAGCAATAGCAACATACTAAATGATCAAGTGATAAGCTAACGGAATGGGTCAAGTCAATCACATTATTCTCCTAATAATGTGATCTTGTTAATGAAATGACAACTCATGTCCATGGCTAGGAAACTTAACCATCTTCGATTAACAAGCTAGTCAAGTAGAGGCATACTAGTGACACTATGTTTGTCTATGTATTTGCACATGTATTATGTTTCCGGTTAATACAATTCTAGCATGAATAATAAACATTTATCATGATATGAGGAAATAAATAATAACTTTATTATTGCCTCTAGGGCATATTGCCTTCACAAACGCCCTCTCCACATCCTTCCCAGCTGCTTCATGTATTGTTGCAAAGTGGCTCTGTCTGTTGACTTGTGGTTCTGATATGGTCTTCAAAAACGCTGGCCACTGAGGATAGATGTCATCGGCAAGATAGTATCCCATGTTTTTGTAGTCACGGCCATTGATGGTGTAGTTTCAAGGCGGTGATTCCCCATTACAAAGCCTCTTCAACACGAGAGATCGTGGAAGTACGTTGATGTCGTTGTGAGAACCCGACATTTCAGACAAAGCATGTCAAATCCATAAGTTATGTGATGTCGCTGCTTCCAGTATGATGGTGACCTATTTGGTGTGACCTTGATATATTCCCGACAAACCTTTAGGGTAGTTTTTCCATTGCCAATGCATGCAATCAATTGATCCGAGCATTTCCGGAAACCCTCTGGCCTCTCCAATAGGCAACAACTTTTCTGTGTTCTGCACATTTGATTCTCTTAGATACTCTGCCCCAAACACTTGCACCACGGCACAGACAATGTCAGTAGTATTCACGCATGTGCTCTCCCTCATTCAGAACATCTCACCAACGACATCCATCGCAGTACCAAGTGCAAGCATCCTCAGAGCAACCGTGCATTTCTTCTTAGTAGAGAAAGAAAGTTGGCCACGGTAATCCCTTATGAGCTTGAAGTAGTCATGATGTGCCTCTACTCCCTCCACAACACACAAAAATAATGGTTTGCGCATGCAGAAACAATTACGAAATCATGGATCATCCGGGAAAGTTGGGCCCACAACAAAGTAGTCCTTGTGCAGTAGCCATGCTCCGGAGACCCTATCTCGATGAACACTCTTCTCCCTTTGATTGAACCCTTGAAGTTGAGAATATTCTCCACCTGCCGATCCATTTCCTCTTGCATGCTCATGAGAATGTTCATGCCCACTTCTTCGTTCAAATCCGACGAATCGAAGAACTCATCTTTAATCATTTTATCAAGCTCCACCAATCCATACTCCTTGTCCGGCGAAGCATCAGAACCCACATTTTCCCAACGGATAAATCACAAAAAATGGGTCAGACAATGTGTCGAACACATAGAGCGCAAGGGGCAGCCGATAGTTACCGAACGTACCGCGGTGGCATCTGAGCCGGCGACGATGTCTGAAGTGGAGAGAACGACAAGGAGGACTGTTGTGCCAGTGCTGGCGGCGCTGAGGCTCGGAACGGCTGCAAAGTAAGGGTGGCGGCGAAGCCACGAGTCGTCCAACGCGGAGGAGGAAGAAGAGAGGAGAGAGCAAATGGATTCAATAGGTCGAGGGGGTGGATTTGGTGCAACTTGTCGTGGGGTAGGCATGTCGGGTGTGACGTGATGGATGCGCCTGGTCGCGTCCTGGGCTCCTGGCATCCCCCTATCCGTCCTACATGGGGGGTGCCGGTCAGCCCGGGCGTTTGAGGCCCGTTTGAGGTGCCCGTTTGGATCGGGTTTATATGACGTCTGCTCGGGTGTTGGGGAGGGGGGCAGGAGTTGAGGTGCCATGTTGTAGATGCTCCTAAGGACCAATGATTAGAAGTTTTTTTAGGGATATGCTTGGAAGTGTTACTAGTTGGGAGGAGATGGAAATGGCACTTTTCTTTCGAGATTTTTTTAAATAAAAAAACAGGGTAGAGAACGAGGGGGAAATGAGATGGGTTGACCCCAAGCGTGGTTTGGCGAGTTGGCGTCACAAAAAATAAATCACGGCAGTCCTTCTCATTCTTATATTTCAAAAAACAGGTCCTTTGCGATATGAAAAGGGAAGCATCGCATGGAGCGCATGGCCTCCACCGGGATCTTATCGTGATCGGCGAGCCTTCACTTTACCCTTCTCCCGAGATACATATCAAACTGTCCTGTCAAAAAAGAAGTTTCATATCAAATTCCTGCTCCAAAACGGATTCTGAACCTTTAAAACCGACGACGAGAAGATCTCCAACTTCCACGAGGATCTTTGTTTTTGACCGGACGGAAGAACTCCCAAGACCGCAACAGCTCCTCGCCGATCACATGACGATCATGCCACGATCTCAACAGCTCCCAGACCGCAACGGTGCCGATCGGGGTAGGTGCGAGGCATGACCAGATCCTGTCCGATCTGGGCCAACCAATGCACATAGACATATGCTTCTGCGCCGATCCCCCGATCCAACAGGCAACAGCTTATCCACACGACATGTCTGCAACTGCAACACTCCCGAAATATGTTTATTAGACAAGAAAAGGAAGTGCTTAGCTGTGCCCATTTCTGTCCTTATAGAAACAGTTAACTTGTTTAGCTTGCATCGATGAGTTCGTAGCCCATTGCGGCATTTTATATGCGTCATAATTGAGGGTCTGTGTGCCGCAAAAACCCGGGAAAATACGGTAGCTCTTCGTCACTAGGTTCAATCCAGAATGACAGGTGGTGCTGGACACCTGGTATTTCCTTTTCTTTTCTCTTCGATAATGGGGACCTGGTATTTCTCCATTTGTGAAATGGCTTCTGACCTTCCCTGGAGTTAAGAAAATGGAGGGTTCTGGAATATTGTAAATGGACACTGACATCAGGTTCTGATTTCTGATGCTTTTTTTTTGAAAAGGAGGTTCTGATTTCTGATGCTGAAATGATGTAAATGGAGTTAAGAAAATGGAGAGTTCTCAAGTATTGTAAAATGGTAGTAGTAGTGATGTCTTTTTCCGGCTGAGCCTGCAAATGATGGTATTATCTGTTACTGAATTGGTAAGACAAGCAAGCTCTGGAGATTGGTTTGTGATGCTGCATGGTTAGAAAATTTCATGGCAGAAGCACGCAAGCAAAGAAGATAATGCAAGTTTTATGGCAAACAAATAAGCTATCAAGAACAAATATTGATGGAATGGGACACATCACCATTCCCCAAAGAAATAGGTCAGACGTGTGCCTCGCAAGAAAGGAGGTCTCACTTCATAGCTGAAGGTCTACATCTAGTTCAGCAATATGAAATACCAAGTACAAAACTAGCTGTGGGTGGCAATGGCATTTCAGATGGTCCAAAGTTGCTGTTGTGCTCTTAACTACATTTCTCAATGCTACCTAATACCAGCAAGACTACATAATGTCCTTTCAAGGCACTATGATTAAGGACCATGAGCCACATGCCTGATCTTAATCTGACAGACATGGGCAACCATTAATTCGGTCTGAAACTTTAAAGAATTTGACAGTGGAGAGGTCAAGTTGTGTGTAGTAAAACAGCCAGCCATTTTCCAGAACAATCTCTGCAAAACATTCAGCCTACTAAGAAAGTAATGCAGAAAAATAAAATTCAACTCCCTTGTTAAGAATATTTTGATACTAACAGTTTGAGCTTCCTACTTTTGTACTTCCTCTGTAAACTAATATAAGAGCGTTTAGATCACTAAAATAGTGATCTAAACGCCCTTATATTAGTTTACGGAGGGAGTATCATAGAACATCGAAGTTGTGTGTAGTAAACAGCCAGCCTTTTTCCAGAACAAGCTCTGCAAAACTAATGCAGGAAACTAAAATTCAACTTCTTGTGAAGAATATTCTGATACTAACAGTCCGAGTTTCCTTATTTTTTATAGTAGAACATCAAAGCACAAGGAAATGATTAGCAGAAGAACACAATCCAAGTACAGCTTAAACAGCAACAAGTCAGCAGGCATGAATTGGCCCCTAGAGAATAAAAAAGGAAAAAAAAGAAGAAGAGGTGCAGCCAACTAACTTGCCACCATATTTAAGCAGTCGTCATGCTACCCTCTCAGAAGATTTAGCTCCCTCTTCCTCCCTCCTCCCTCCAAACCAAACTCCTTGTTCTTCATCACCATCGTCAGGCTCGAGCTCGCTTTCTTGATTCGTCTACAGAGTGAAACTGGTTCTGAAGATTCAGAAATAAAGTCGGCTTTTCGGAGTTTTCGGGCAGCTTAAAAGTACTTGCTCTTGAGGTAAGCTATCTTCTGCTCTTCTCTACACGTCTTGTGTTGTATATAATTCCGGACCTCTGAGAAGCTTTTGTTTATCATGGCATGAGAGCTGAATTTCCCGAGAAGGCGAAAAACAGCTTAAATCCTAGCATACAGTTGTTCTGAATGCATCTGTGATCTTATTGGACATTTCCATTCCTGTAGGAGCTTTTCTTTGTGTAGGCCCTCACAAATGGCGGTAAAGATGAAAGGGATCTTCAAAGGGCTGAGGATATTCTCGCACATGTTTGGTAATAACCCCATCTTCCTTTCTTGTTCCTCGGTCCTCCCAACTTCAAATACAGTTATGTTGGTTTATTTTTTCGAAACAAAAATAAAAATAAAACGAACAAGGGCCCAACCGGGTTCGAACCGGTGACCTATTGATCTGCAGTCAATTGCTCTACCACTGAGCTATGGACCCGTTGTATGAATTTTGTGATAGATACATGTACTCAACTACTGTGCCTATGGCTATGAGACATCACAGAAATTAATGAATGTAATTTCTACTTACACATGTAACTGTTGTTCTGCTGCAGCTCAAAAGGAGCATGAGATGGAAATCGGGTTCCCTACAGATGTAAAGCATGTGGCTCACATAGGGTTGGGCACCAGCGACACATCTCCAAGCTGGGTAAACATGCAAATAACTTGAAGTCCTTTTCAAATTATCTTCTTGTAGATCATCAGACTTTATTATGCCATCATATTATGAGTCTATCTATTGTCGTCTAGTATTGTCACTGATGGATAATGTGCATTGATCATTTTAGATGAATGAGTTCAAGTCGTCAGAAGATATGTCTGCAGGCTCTCTGAGCACAGCTGAGCAGTCAAGGCAGACTTCTTGGACCTCTACAGGTAATTAGCATCCTCTCATTTATCTCTGTCAAGAGTTAAATATATCCAACATTCAAAAAAGACATAAATATATTCAGAAATGGATAAAGTTTCATTCAGGGGTGATCCCTGATTTTCCACCGTAAAAGTTTCACATCGCTTATATGTCAGTGTCGTGACGACGGATTTGTATATAAATTAGAACATATCGAGACTTTACCTATATAATACCATATGACTCTGTTATTGCAAAATCTGCATGACTAATCATTAATGTGCATAAGCATGAGAATCTTCCTGAGCTGTTTTCTAATGATCAGTAGTAGTGGCGTAGCACTACACAGTTTTCCCCATTGGTTGCCTCCATGTTTACTAGGTGCTGACCAGCAGTATTATATTTCTGCAGACTTTGAGCCAGCAAGATCCATGCTGCCAACTGAGATCAATTTCCCAGACAGACCAGCGCAGGAGTCCTCCTCCTGCCCCCCAAGAGGCCCCAGGAAGGCAAGGAGGAAGAAGACCAGGACATCGTCCCCCACCTCCTCTGCAAGATCATCTTCCTCGAGGTCGAGGGCCTCCTTCGCGACGGCGTTCGACGATTTCAACGAGTCGCAAAGAGGGCTCCGGGTCGTGTAAAAAAATCATGTGTGGCCACCTTGCATATAATACATGTTTCGGGTTTAGGGAGGGGAGGTGATTTGTGAATTGCTTTATTCTTTGTCCAGTTTAACAGATGGTTGGGAATGCAAAAGTAAGTTGGAAGTTGATCGATGTTTGTTGTCCATAAAGCTTTGGTATCGCGCAATCACAGATCTTGTTTCACATTGTTTTTCAAAGACACGTTACTGTAAAAAAAAGTGCTAATCAAAGGCATGCCTGCCAGAGTAATGTCAATGATCATGACATGTTGTGGACTAAGCATGAGACCAGCAGGCCCTGTGAACTGTTTGTTTTCCACGCCACCAGGACAAACGTGCTACTGACCGACATGATGAGATGCAGAGATGGTTCATCATGCCCATCACTTTGTTCAAGAGCCATGCACTTCCTTCAGACAGAACATGACTAACATTATGGGCTGCCACATTGGTCGGCTAACTTTGATCAGCATTTTGCAGTTAGGTCAGTAACAATCTGCCTGTTGTGATTATGCAGCTGCAGCCTGTCTTCCTTGAACTTGGGTGAAGCATATTTTTCTGGATATATTGCTCAAAAGGAGATGGTTTATAAGGTCAGGCAGATGCACGAAGATAGGTAGCCTCGCCAAAACATTGCGAGAATCTTATTGCGAACATAAGGTAAAGTGAGGCAAGGAATATATATTATATGAATAATAGCATCAGCATCAACTATCAAGTAGGAGTAGACAGCAAGAATCCTGTGCTATGTGGCACTTACCGAAAAGAAGAGCCTTACAAGGAGAGATCAAAAGAAGACTTTCTGAAGGATTCCTTTCTCAAGTCATATTTGGGAGAAGCATGGAGTTTCAGGCTGAAGCTGGCTTCACGCTCCATTTTACCGTTGGAGCTCGCATCGCGGTTTGAGCCTTGTAGTCTTTATGACCGTGCTCTGGCACGTTTAGCTAGGAGGCTTTATTACCTGGATATCAAAAAGTTTAGTACTAACCCTAATCCACTATGCTAGCCTAGTAGTACTAAAATCCAACGCTGTACTAGTTTTTTTCATTTTGAGAAACGCTGTACTGGTTGGACCGAACACTCTGCATTGTTCGTCCATAGTTGTACTAGTAAATCACCCTACAAAAATTAGACACTGCTCCGTGGTCTGGAAAAGAACTCTCTTTTTCTCTGTTCGCCTCGGGGAGTTTCACCGGAATTCCTCAGAAAATTCACATTAAAAAGTAATTTGCAAAGAATTAGCAAAATGGACTATGCAGAGAGCAGGGGCTGAAAATTTGGAAAGTTACAGTCAGTTTTTGTCCTCACCATTACATACTACAAAATAAGTGTCTGAAACTCCATCAAATTAACTGAAACACCCTTACACAAAAAAAGTAACTGAAACGCCATTGAAGAAAATTGGCTGGAAGCTAAAATAATCCTTAATGTTATGTGGCGACCGTTCTCTAGGAGGAAAACCCCAGCGAATCTGACAATGGCAGATTTCAGACAAAAATGCACCAAAATAAACGAAATGTCATGTTTTTTTTGTCAAAAATGTCATTCCCCAAACACTAGAACTGCCCGCCGCGCCGTTCGCAAATGCCATCCTGCCTAGCGAACGGTCGCTGCCTATTGCAGTCCAAAATAATAACCAGACACCTGCATTTTATCATGTCAGCTAGTAGGGAAAATCAAATCGTATGTTTCAAAGTTCAAATCGTATGTCGACCAACTTAACGGGACCCTGCCGGCAATGCAAAGTGCCTGCATCCTATTCCTCGTCGTCGCGCCACTCTCGTACCAAAGCACAAAAAAAAAAACGCATGGAGAACGACGTCGCCCATATGCAGGAGCCAACGCCCGCGGACTTTTACCGGCGCACAAGCCATGAATATATGCCTGTGCCACTCCGCAAAGGCTCCGTCAGCTCAGCCGCAGCATAGCACAGCAGAAAGGACGCCATTGCAGCCAGGGCAAGCACAAAGACAGCTCGAAAACTTGGCGGGGAGATAGTTCGGCTAGCTCAAGGTGTCCATGGAAAGCAAGGCACCCTCGTGAAGCCCCGGCAACGATCTCGAGGCCTACAAATACCCGGCGGCTCAGGCTCTTCCATCTCATCGAGTAGAGGAAGAAGCACTTGTGCTGTTGTGCAATCTTGATCGGTCTTGTGGCTGTCTAGCTAGGGAGTTAATTTGGTTTTGCAGTGATGGCGAAGGGTGCGGGTTACGGGCTTGGGTTCGCGTGCTTCGCTCTTGTGGCGGCGATGGCCGGCGCGGCGCAGTTCAAGGTCGGCGGCGACAGCGGGTGGAGCGTGGCCGGCGCCAGCAAGGAGTCGTACAACACTTGGGCGATGAAAAACAGGTTCCAGGTCGGAGACACACTAGGTAATCCACACACGGCCGAACACCTTCGTCACGGATCAAGATTTCGTCTGCCACGGGCCATGGCCAGACCTTCGACCTCTTCTTCTTCTTGATGTGTTATTAATGGTGGTTTTGTGCTTGTGCAGTGTTCGTGTACCCCAAGGACAAGGATTCTGTGCTGGTGGTGCAGCCGGCGGACTACAACGCCTGCAACACGTCGTCGTACGACAAGAAGTTCGCCGACGGCAACACCGTCTTCAGCCTGGACCGCCCCGGCGCCTTCTTCTTCGTCAGCGGCGTCGAGGCCAACTGCCGCGCCAACGAGAAGCTCATCGTCATGGTCCTCGCCGGCCGCAACGACACAGGCACCGGCGCCGCGCCGCCGCCCGCCGCTCCGGCACCGGCAACGTCATCTCCACCTCCGGCCGCTTCCAGCCCGCCTCCGGCAACGCCCCCCTCACCACTCCCCGCGGCGCCCGCTCCTAGCGCGCCTAGTCCCACCTCCGCTCCTCCTCCGGCCTCCGCTTCCGCCCCGCCACCGGCCTCTTCACCTGCATCTGCTCCTCCGACCTCGTCGCCGACTGCTCCGGCGTCCCCGCCTCTCCCCACTCCGTCGGCCCCGACCGGCGCCCCGCCGATGGCGCCCTCAGCGAACGCTCCCGCCGGCGCGGACGGAGGAAGCACGAACTCAACGGGCACGTCATCATCCCCGCCCCCCGCCGGCTCCAACGAGCGGAACGGCGCCACGCTCACGGTTACGGGCGCCGCGGGTCTCGCCGGCTCGGCCGCGGCCTGCATCGTCGGCTTCGCCATGCTCGCGCTCTGAAGCGTGACCGGAGAAGGGCGACTGCTACAACTACAGTACTAACTAAGACGAGTGATCTGTGTGTGCGTCGACTATCGATTGACCTCTTTGTATTATACACGTATTGGTTTTCCATCGGATGAAATAAGAAAGAAACAACCGAGATTCTTGAGAAAAGAGATCGATAGAGCTCGCAGGGCGATGCCTCGCCGGCCAGCCCGCGCGGCCGTGCCGGCGATGAAGGGGAAGCCGGGAAAGAGAGGCAAGCGGTAGTCGCGGCGTGCGCGATGGCCCGGTGCCCTGATCGATGAGTTTGTGCATGGGACTGAAACATGGGCTCCGTCCAATAACGCTGTTTCTTTTCCTTTTTATTTTTTGTTTCCTTTTGTTTTTCCTCTTTCTCCCCATTTTTTACTTTTGTTTTTTCCTTTGTTCTTTTGCGTAAAATACAGGAGTATTTTTATGACATGCATGAACACTCATTTTCAAAGTGTGAATGTTCCTTTTCAAAATAATGAACATCAAAAAGTCCATTAGAGCGACACGACCGGTCGGCACAAGAACTAATCACTTTATTAGTAGGTATAGATAGGCAAGGAATTTTTAAAAATACAAAAAACATTTATTTCTGACATCTAAACATTCTTTCTTGCAGCATGTCAACACATTCTTTTCACATATATAACATTTAGAGAAAACCATGCCAATTTTATATATGTGTGAATGTTTGTTTTCACTTACTTCGTTCACTGGATATGTAATTGCAGTGAGATAAATATATTTTCCAAGTCTTATATATAAGAAATACCACTGTTTTACTTTTCTTTCCTTATTTTCCTATCTTTCCCCCCATTTTACTCTCGTATTTCATTTCCTTTTTCTTTGTTATTTTGGATCTAATACATGAATATTTTTATGACATGCATGAAAACTCTTTCTTCATACGCGATAAAACATGTACAAGCTATTCTACATACATACATTTACTAGAAGTAATAACATAACCCAGAAGGCCCATGAAGGATTTAATGCCCGGTTACACATGTCCACGTCGTGCAGCAAAAAAAGAAGTCATTTTTTCTTTAGTTTTCTATTTTCTCAATATTATTATTAGTAGACTTTTTTAATTTTATTTATTATTTACTGGTTACCTCTTATTTTTATATTGTGATACCTTTTTCTTATTATTTTTATCAATCATGAATATTTTTCAAAATACATGAACATTTATATGAAGGTTGCAACTTGTGTATGCCTAAGGTGTCCCTGGGGTACATCACGACACATGTACATAAAAGTCTGGATGAAGAAGAGGGAGAAGAAGGATTTGTTTTCTTAGACAACACCATCGACGGTGTCACACCAGTGTTCCTGGGACGCCCATGGGAGCCGTATGTCAGAGTCCTATTCTACATGGCGGTGATATCAAATGTTGTGGTCAGTGCAGGATGGGGTCCGTGGAAGAATAAAAGCACATGAGTAATCCATCAAATTGTTGAGGTAATAGCACCCCAGGTACCCTAACTTGCATAGAATGTGATGATTCAGTCCCAAATTTGTAAAACTTGACTCCACCATACCCTAACTTGCATAAAATGTGATGATTCAGTCTCAAACTTGCAAAACTTGACTCCACCATACCCTAACTTGCACCTGGGGTGCTATTACCTCAACTGTGATGATTTAGTCCAGGCCAATCACAGCTCGACAATTGGCAGCCAGGTGGCTGGACCGGTCAGCGTATGCACTTTTCCAGAACTCTCCCTGCCCTTTTCCCTATTCAACCCACACTCTCTCCACCTGAATTAATTCTGTCGGAACGAATCCACCTCGTGTCCGTCTCTGTTCCCCTCGTGCTCA